AAATAGTAAACATGTTGTGAAAACATATGAAAAAAAATTTGAAGAGAGCACAAACTAAACATCTGAACACGAGCATTGCCAAACAAGAAGTGACAGTTGGATAGAATAGCACAGAGGGAGTCACAAGAGTCATGTGGGTGTGTGGCACCACTACTATTGGTGTAGCTTTGTCACATGATAATTTGCACGTGAGAATCAGTTAAACCATGTGAATTGAGAAGTGCATGGGAATGAAAGACTTGTGGCATGTAAAAAAATTTTTTGCAAATAGAGGGCAGCACTGAATGAGAATAGCTATGAAGGTGAGCTGATGTAAGGTACCTTGTCAGAAAATAAAAACTAAATATTTGAAATAATTATATTTGGTAATATGATGTGAATGTTTTTATACTGGTGTTGCAAAATAATCTTTTCTGTTGGTTTAAAGTTTATGATAACAATCACACTGAACTGTAAATTTTATTTCTTCTGGATCCCTTTTAATTATTTCATTAGGATTACAAATTTGAGGTGTGTAAAAGCAGCATTTCAGAGTTATCTTCTGTCTGCCACAAGTCAATGCCCTGGTGGGGTCCCTCATTCAATACCAGAACTAATTCACCGGCCCAAACATGATTTCAAACAAAAGTATACCTAAAATGCTATTCTTATATGCAGTACCAAAAATGGACTGAAGTATAGAAGTGATTTATTATTAAAGAAAACCGTAGATTATAATAAAATCAGTCTTAGTATGTACAAATACAATACCATAAATTACTGTATGATAGGACTAGTTACAAATTTTTAGATTTTTGAGTACTCTGGAATGGGCAGTTATAGAAAAAACACAAGTGTAGAATTCGATGCCATCCTCTAAACTTCTGTTTTTTTCTACAACAGGCAGTTGATGTCCATTCCAGCATACTCATCATGAATACTCTGCTTAAACAATTTACCAAATAATTTTCAGAGTTTTTTTTTGTTGTTGTTGATTTAAGATTGTTAAATGAGACATTAGAATTCTAGTGCTCAAACCTGATGATAAACTATTAAAAGAAGTCTGATGCTGATGTAATAATTATGGAATAGTCTGCCTTGTGTCAATGTTCTGTATGGTTGTTTAGTGAAGTATAAATTAAACTAACAAAGTTATAATCAGTAATCATGAACTGATCTCACAGGATGCAAAATTGAGAACTGAAATTTCTACATGATTGGCAAGGTGTTTTAAAACAACTGGTGAAATTATCAACAGTTTTATTCCATTAAGTTGAATATAATGAGGATAAAATTTATTGAAATCTATATTAACATTAACAAAGATTAGGAAATGCACTAACAAATTTAACTATTACTGGTGTATGAACCTAAGGCAACCGATTTTTAACTTATGTGTATTTAATACACAAGTTTGAAGTACTTAGGCTTGATCAACTGACCTACATTGGTTCTTTAGTTAAATATTTGTGTAAACTTCTATTAATTTCATTTAAAATTGCAACATGTTTATTGACAGATATACTAATATGAATAAGAAAGCACAAAATACAAACTTTAATGATTTTTCACCCAAATCTTCAATCTTTATTTTATATCTTAAGTCAAGCTGATGGAGCTGGTTTAAAAGTTTATCATGTACTGGTGAAGACAAAAATGGTAGTTCCTCATACTTTTCTAGTATGCTTTTTGAAGATTGATGACCACGTTCCTCCAGAATTATAGTAGATGCTGTGGCAAAGACCAAATAGAATGTTAAAATTAGAAAATAAATTATTTCATCTTAATTTAGTTTTGCATTCTTTATGATCAATGCAACAAATGGTTACACAATTGTATAAAGGTTGAATAAAACATAATATATATTGCATATCACACATGAGAGACTTGATAAATTTCTTAAGAATAAATAATATTATAAGAAGAGAGAAATGCGTGGTATATTCATTGTTGGATATACAAGACTGTTCAGTTTAAAGAGTTATTATTTAGTTTACTTAGTGATTTAATGAATATTTTGTTTTCATAACAAAAGTTAAAAATTAATTATTTTAAAAGTGATAGTTATGACAAGTTAGTTACGTAACTTTGTACGAGTCATATATTGTGCATGCAGTTTAACTGTTGCAATAGGCTTTTGTAATATTGTTGATGTCATCTTACTCATAGCCTCAAGTTTTTCTCCTTATGTTTAATATTGTTGTTACTAGAGGGCTAGATATTTCTAGATTTTTCCATTGCATGTTATAAACACATGTAGGTAAGGAGAGAAAATTAAGTTAGTGAAAAGATGTTAGTAGAAGTGAAAGTAAAAGGAAAGTTAGACTGCTTGATTGTCAGTTTAGCCATAATGGGCAATATCTAAAGTGAGTTTCACAGTTCATATTGTAACAACAGAGATAAATAATAATAATTTGTTTTGTCAATTGGGTTCTAAAGGAAGTGAACCAGCCTGTGTGAACTTTTGACAAAAAAGAAAAATATTTAAAGCCCTAGATTGAACTGTGGTAAACAATAGTGTAACAAATTTTTGTACGTATGTTTGACTTGTTTTGAATATATATTATTTTAAAACAAATGGATTATATGATGTCTGTTTAATGTTGAAACTTATTGCCAAGTTATGGACACCTGATGTAAAAAATCCACAACCTTTATAAAATCTGACATTCATACACCCCACATGACTGACAAGGTGTTTTAAAACATCTGGTGAAATTATCATTAGTTTGGCTACAATTAAAAAAAATTAATTGAAATATAGAGATGATTTATTCTTATAAAAACTTTGGGCTGTAATAAAATGTGTGCAAATAGTGCAAATACAATGTCATAAATTCCTGTATGATAAGACCAGTTATTATAATATTATAAGAAAATAGAAATGCATAGTATATTCATAAACTGCACAGGAATGATAAGGTGTTTTAAAACAACCAGGGAAATTATCATCTGCAGGTAGTAAAAACTAACTCAGTTCCTAGGATCCGTTTCATCTCAAAACAAGCTTTGATACAGAACAGAAGATAACATGTTTTTTTCATAAGTTAGGTAAATGCAATCATAACCCAGTGCTTACTAAGATCAGAATAAAGCTGAAGAAAATTTAAAAAAAACAGTCAAAAATGCCAAGCTCAACCTGGCACTTTTGAAATTAAATCCAGCAATCAAGACAAATGGAAAAATCACTTAATGCAACCAAAATATGTTTCCTGCGTAGAATGCTTAGGGTTTCCTACAAAGACCAGAAAACAACTGAAGAAGTTCTACAACAAACAGATATAAAAAGAACACTGATGGTGATGAGGTGGTTACAAAAAAGGGGGAACATTGTTGCATGACTTAAAAACTGTTTGTTGGACATGTGACAATTGGTACTTCTTAACCCTTTTTGACCTAGGGGAGAGGGGGTCATTGATAGCCATTGATTTCTTAATTTGTCATGACATAATTAAACAACCAAATTGTAAACCATTTAGTAATAACTAACTAAATAAGTTTGAGCTTAAAAATCACAAAATTCAATTTACTTTTTCTATAAGTGAAACTGTTTTCAAAGTCATCAAAAATGTTTCCTTTTGTCTCAGGATGTTCTATTTCATAAATACAATTAATTTTTAAATTGATTAATATTCATTAGCATATTTCTTTTGATACTTTATTTTGCCCATTGCAGTAGTCTCCATTTGTGGTTATAAATCATAAAAACATGGCAAAACTAACAAAGGTTTATAGATGACCCACAGCTCGAACTGTCAAAATGATGACAAGTCAGGCTAAATAATGTTTTTGCTAACATTATTCTTGGTCAAAATAAATTCAAATAGTTTTTAGTTAAATAAAATATTCTTTTATTAAACTATGTTGTTTTAACCCTCTCTTTAAGGAAATGTCAAAGGGAACATCACATTTTAAAGTTATTTTCAAAATTTAATTAAACAACTTTATTTTCACTGTAGGTCAATAAAATTGGCATCATAACATAGTCAATATCTCAAATTTTAACATTATATATATTTTATTTTCTTAATTAAAATAAAAGCTAAATATTCTTTTGAGTGTGTGTGTGTCATACAGTATGTCTTCTTGTCTAATTGTGCAGTACATATATATTTTATTATGCTTACCATAAAATGTCTATAGTAGTTGACAGTTAACAAATTACAAAATCCAATTTCAGACACTTACAAGCTAGGATATAAAATAAGAACCTCCCACCTTTTTGATTTGCAGAGATATTAACATATTTTGCAAACTAATGAGAGAAGATTGCCCACTATCCATTCTATGGAAACCTCTTGTCAACTCATGCTTACGTCTCTTAAGTACATGTTTATAGCCAAGAGAAAGAGCACATTCCAAGCTACATAAATTTGACAGTTGTTTGTAATTGGCATGAAGGGGAAACTTGTAATTTTACTAGAAATATTGAAGTCCATTGAGTAAGTCATTGTTCTGAACAGAAATGAGATTCTTTTAACCTACATATACCTTAGTTAAAAAGCCAGGTAAATTACAGTAGTTTTATGTGTACCTAGCTGGGCCTTTAGTGATACAGACACCTAAAATAATGAATGACTCCCAAGGAACAGTGTCAAAAGTGATGTTAGCTCGTATATCAAAAAATAAAAGCATGTCAGACAAATATAATAATGGTTGTTAAACTATATTGACAGATAGTGATAGTACAGCATTAAAATGAATAGTGATAAGAAAATATAAACTACAGCATCAAGTGTATGTACAGATATTAATGTTAGCCTACAACAACTAATCTATATCAAAATAACTTCTTTTGCTCAACTCCCTCCTGCAGTTTACTTGATATGGATAAAAGAGACAGCATTATCTGTAAAAAATTCTTCATTTCTTCCTATCTATTTTCAGTATTGTATTATATAGAAAGTCACTACGCAATGCACTAACATTTCTAACATAATCACTGCTGTAAGAGACTTACAAGTCAAGAATATCTTTAAACAAGCCTTTTTTTAACATTTCACTTTTACAAGTTCAAAAATTCATAATCTAAAATGGTTTGATTTTTTGTTGTTTTTCTCCAGATAATGTAGCATTTCAATTCTGAAACCTACATCCTGCAAATATTCTATACTGTCACAGAAATCCCAGTAAACAACAATAAAAATAAGTCTGCTATCAAAAACAAGAACAGCTACACTGCATATCGTGACTACCTGCAAACACCTCTTAGGTCAAAAGTCCTTGAGTAAATCAAAAAAAAAATCTCTTTCTCAACGCGTGTTTAAATCTAAGGTACTGTAACACAAAGTTGTTCATAAAGGCCTATTTCACCCCTGATTGACCACAAACTAAGACAGCATCACCAAATATGGAACATACTAATAGCATCTTCAAAGTCATGTCTGTTCTTAACTTTGCAACAACACTGCAGGGCATGTTTGGAATGTGTGGATGTGGATAGTATGCACGAGTGTTAACCAGGTGGCCATCTGATGAAATGGTTCTTTGGTAATTCTAGTGAGGTTGTAATAGTAATTATTACTTAAAACAACAGGAGTTAGTCTTTTCTTTACCCGAAAGTATATTTCAGGTAGATATTCACTTCTTAACAGAAAAATGCTTATCACCTTGCACTACTGCTAAAAATATTTTTTTGCATGCCACAAGTCCAGAATAAAACTCCCACTCCTACTTGTATTAACTCTCAGAATAAGGGCTGTCAAAGTATGTATGCCATGGCATCTTTACAGATTTACATTCAAAATTTATTTGAATAGCTTTATTATCAATGTACTTCAATAAACTTAGCATCAAAACATAGCTCATAGTCTAAATTTTGATATTATACAAGTTTTAACTTTTAATTTCAAAATATAATATTTGAATATATTCTCAATCTTCATTGCTGTATATCACATGACCATATCTGCTCCAAATTACCAATTATATATTTTCTTTCTACCCTTATATAATCTCCTCAGTTTGGCACAGATTACTATAGACATTGCCAAAATGGATCTTCACATATTGATTTCGGTTCAGCATAAAGATCAAAGCAGATAAAGCAATCTCAAAACAAGTCTACTAGTAATAGTACACTAGTATTTTGACTCCAACCCCAACACACCTACCCTGCCTTTCCAATATTTGTCCCTCCAGATTTGAAATAATTGAATGAATGGCCAATCTGATAATAGAATTGGCAAAAATCTATCAAACTATGGTCAATTCTCACTCCTGATGATTATACAGTCTGCAAAAAATTCCTGAATAGTTTATGAATTTAATTAGATGTTAATGTAGCTCTGCAATAAATACTATTACTAAAGTTAACATTTTCTAACTCTGAAAATGTATTTCCAATAGTTAGTTACCTCCTCTCATCCATAACTATCTCAACCTACATTTGCCCTGTAGGCATTGGTAAATCTTATGAAGAGTGCACCAGTCTTTTATACCCCTATATTTTTTGTGTCATTGCAGCAACATGTATTGATTATGTGACTACCCTCCATCAATCCCACATAGCTCCCTCTACCATTGCAGCACAATCCTCACATTCAAAACTGGCATATACACCCCAAAACACCAGCAAATCAATGGGGAGAAAGCATGGGAAATGGGTAAGAGGAGGTAAGAATGTATTGAAAATACATTTTCAGTGTTAGAAAGTGTTAACTTTTGAAATGGTACTACTTCCTTTCCCCCATAGCTAAAATCCCACATTGGAAAGGTGGAGTGGCTGGGGAAGGAACAAAAAATAAATAATCAAACAGAGAGTGACCAACATGAAAAAAAAGCAAGTATGCCACTATTGAAATATGAGGTACACTTGTGAGGCATAGCACTCCTTCTGAAACAGATATGCTCTTCCCCCAATATAGAAGATAAGACACATAGGGAGGAAATGAAGAGAATAAGTGGCTAGGGTAGAGGACCATATATGTATAGGCCAAGTGCAGTCTGCCCAGGCAGAAAACATCCAGGGTAAGTGCCATGGAATACAACATATTATGCCAAGTGCGGTCTGCCCAGGCAGAAAACATGCAGGGGAAGTGCCATGGGATATGACATATTATGCCAACTGTAGGCCAAGGTCAAATAAAACATGGAAGTGCCTTGCATAAGTTTGTAAAATCAACAATTGTGGTTCGCCTGGGCAAAAACATCCAGGGGAAGCAGCTTGGATTTAGAACAAGATAGCCAAGTGAGGTCCACCAGGCAAAAACATTCAGAAAAGCCATTTGATATATTCTGGATTGTGTCAAGTTGCAGTCCATTTGGGCAGAAAACATCCAGTAGAAGCGCCTTGCATAATACACAGAGTGCCATAATATGTATATAATAGGCAGCATAATGAAGACAGCTCTCTTCTCATCAAGATTTTCTTATTGTACAAAACCCATTCTTAAGGAAACCTCCACGGTCCACCACTCCAGTGACTGGGAACTGGAAGTGGCAAGGACCCCTGTGTTCCACTAGAAGAAAGTAGAAGGGGGAGATACATTGGGAGGTCTGGAGGAGCGACCCACTAGAGACAGTGCAATGGGTGTCTGTATTTCCCTATTTTGAAAAGCAGAAAGTCCCAGATTGTAAGAATCCCAGATCAGTTGGGATGGGCAAAAATCTCTATCTGCTTTACTCATGAATTCCATGAATGACGGTCCTCAGGAGATATATATAGATATAGATACACCACCAGAAAATTGTCCAGTGGTCTTACAGAAACACCCCATCTCCATAGCAAGTGTTAGAAAGAAATAGAGTAGGTGCTAGTATAAAATGATTCAGCATACCTGGCCAGACAACACCTGCCACCAAGTGGGATCCAAAAATGCAAGGAAAACAACTGTTTCTGAGATGGTAAAAAAAAGGATGCATTAGTGAAACCAAAATATCAACTTACCACAGTTAAAGGCGAACAGACGTATGGAGAATCTCTACAGGTGGAAGATGATACCCGACCAAGGAGAATAGAGAGATATTGTGCAAATAATGTGCAATGAACATATTGCAAGTTGTCCACATTCCCTCTTCTACAATCTCTCCCAAAGGACAGCAGAATCTGAGTGGCTAAAGACAAAGTAACATGCTGTATCTGGTGTGAAGACACATTAAACAGCCAATGATCATCCATCAACAAGTCAGAATAAGCAAGATGGATGAATTGCCAAACCAAACAGGAAAAAGATCACTTGAAACAGAGGGATTCCAGTGGATAAAAAGGCAAGAATGGTAACCCTGAAAGGATTCAGTTTAAGACATAAAACAGTGAAGGGAATGGACAGGACAAAGAAGACAATTGTGATCAGAATGAAGTATAAATGGGAAATAGAAGGGAAGGAAAGAGGAGAGAAGGGAAAACAACCTTCACAAGCAGGAGATGTCTTTGGAAGGAAGGAACAATCGGGATAAAGGAGAACATAAGAAGTGTGGTAAAGGGTGAAGGAAACATTAATAGCACAAATATCAGAACGACGATGACCACTAGCGAGAAGAAGAAGGAAATAAGTTATAAGAGAAAGGTGGTAAAAAGAACACATAGTAACAGGTTCAGAAGGAGAATGAACAAGAGCATGAAGAACGACACTGAGATTCTAGTCCAGAAGTCTAAATGGATGGGGTGGAAAAACAATAAAAAAGGAATAGAAAAGAACAGAAATAACAGGGTAGGAGAAGCAAAAAGTGTGGGACAGAGCAGCACGATAACTAGAAACAGTGGACAAAGACACACTTTGAGCAAAGAACCTGAACACATGAGAAACTGAAGGGCAGGAAGGATGGAATCCCCAGCAAATGGACCACTGGCAAAAAGTAAACCAACAATGCTGATACATGGTCAATAAGGAAGAACGTATGGATTGGGTAAGCAAAGAAGCTACACAGATAGTGAGTCCCAGAGAGAAGGCAATGGACCAGACAAAAGCAACTCGTGAAAATGGAGTTTGGTGATGTCTGGATGAAACACGTTCTATCAAGATTGCCAAAGTAGAGACGGGGTTGCTGCTCCAGTAAGGGCCAAAGTAGAGGAAACCATGACTGAGCAGGCCAATATGGAGCAACTAACAACACATAGCAAGGAGTAGTCTGTATGAGCAAAAGAACCCTGGAGAGGAATTTGATCAGAGGATAAGCATAGAGATGAAGGCCCCTCCACTCCTGACTGAACACATCTACCTCCAAAGCTGAGGGATTCAGAACAGAAGACCAAAACGAAGGAAGTTTGGTATTCTAATGGGTTACAAATGCATCAATATGAGGCATAAACAGGCGAGAACACACTCACTGAAAAATCCTGGGATGAAGAGACAACCCCATAGGAAAAAAAGAGGTAGGGGCGAGATAGATGACCACGACTAGATTCACAACACCTTGAACATGACACGCCAAAAGGGTGATGTAGCTGTGAACCCAGTATAAGAAGTCGAGTGTGAGAAAACACAGAAGGGCTTGTACTTGATGTCCCCTTGTTTTGAGATATAACTGATGAAAGTTCAATTGTCAGAATGAACCATAACCACCTGCTCTCATAAGAGTGGGAGGAAATGAGTGAGGGCCCAACAAACCACACCAACAGCTCCAAAGAGAGAGGTAGGATGAATCCATGGTAAACTGGGGTGTGTTCAGAAAGGCATTCAGCCGAGATAGATTGATAATAGGTTTCCAATTTCTCGTCTTTTTGGAGGCAACAGACAGACAGGAGTAAAAACCCAGATGAACAGGCAACACACGTTCGACAGCATTCTTGTGAAGAATATTGAGAACTGACTCCACTAAATGACTGGACAAGACAGGATACCAAGGAGGAGGAAATAAAACTGCAAAAAAGGACAGGGGAGGAGGGGACCAGAATTGAATGCATAGACCCTCTGACAGAACCCATAACACCCATGGATCTGTCATGAAGGGTTTCCAGATGACAGAAAAAAGTTGTAATTTGGCTCCCACCTGCCCATGGAAAGACATCCTATCACCAATAACAGTGAGGCCAAGAGAAACAGGAATGGGAAGAACAGGCATAAAGAAGGGAATGTCTGAAGTAGGGAAAATGGTGATGTGAGAAAGAAGGAGCACATACCACTCAAACAGGCAAAGATTGAGCTGACTCAGTAGGGTTAGACAAGTGAGAATCAAGGAAGGACAAAGAAGAACACTATCTTACCACTTTGACCCTCAACTTCAAAGACTCAGGAAGTCCCCCAAAGACAATTTCATGCAGAAATAGGACCTGACAAAGTTCCCAAAATGACAAAAGAGGGAAGCACACCCCTGCAAGTAACGCTAAAGCCGACAACAGAGCCATAGTAGAACACAGGAGGGTCTGGAGATCAGCCAAGAATGGATCAGGAGACTGGTGAAAGGCCTGAGACAACAAATGTAAAGAGGAAAGAAGGTACAGATGGTTAAAGCATCTTGTTCATTGATCACATGATATCCTTGTTTATTGACCCAGGTTATACAAATAAATTATAATCCTGATGAATGCAGCAGTAGTACTCATCTTGCTCATGGTAATCTTCAGAGAAGGAAGCATGTGAATTGTAATGGTGTTTGCTAGCAAGTTATGTTTTGTGATGCAACTGAAGTTAGTGTTTTGAACATATGGACTTGAGACAGCATAATCAGTTGTCAAATGCCAATATACAGTATCCCAAGTCCAAAATAAGTCATCTTTCAACTGAATGAGTATATTAATCACAACTATCATATTGATAGACAAAAATATGAAACCCTATAACCCAAGCACTTTCGAAAGGTGGATATTTCTTCATGAGACTGTCTTCAATTTGTGTTAATCTCACTAAAACTGACACCCACTGAAAGCAGGAAATATTATCAGAACATAATTCATGTGGATATATAGAGAAATAGTTTCAATGAATTACAGTTTTGTGAAAATAAATTATCTGGGCAAATTATTTTCTAGTAGTCACACATATACTAACTAATTTATACAACATGCACTTAGAAAAATTTTGGTCTAACCTTTCTGGAGTTCTCTTTCACTCTCCTCCAGCTCATTGTCTAGTTTTTGAATCATGATAAAATAATCACACCAAACAGTTCTGAGTATTTCTTGAATCTGATGATGACTCATATAAGTAGATGGCAGAAGTGGCTTCTCCAGTTCATGTCTGTCAAGCCAATCCTGTAGGTCTTCCCTAATGCATAAAAACAAACTTTTAATACTATAATTAAAAAAAAAACATAACACTTGGAGCAGTTAGCTTTCCAAAATTAAATTCACTAAAATAAATTTAAAAGCAATTAAAAAACTAGTCAAAAAATACACATTCATTTAAAATATTTAAGTTGATACTATAATAAAACTATTATTATACATTCTAAAAATTTTGCAGCAATTAAAACAAGTAACCAATAAATAATTGTTCTTTTAATATAAACTCAAAAGAATGAATTTACATATTATTACAACAAAGGTATGTAACAATTTATCATTTTGAGTGTATGAGGGTTTTAAAAAATGTAGTTATGTTTTAAACATATTTCAACACACACAAATATTTTACATAATGAGAATGTAATCCATTCAAGTAATTCACATGGGTTTGCATAAAAATTAAAATTACATTTGTTTAAAATTTAATATAATGATAAACATCCATTACTTTCCATTGTGATAATACAGAAAATAAACTGTGTGTAATAATGGCTGGAGACGGCTTGAATGGGTAATGA